GACTTTTGACAACTTGTGTAGTTTTCATCATTATTTATCACAGTGTTTGTAGATTCATTTTTCATTAAAGTCAGAAAGTGATCCACCATGTGAATTATTCTTATCGATGGTCCATGCAGGGGGGGGGTAGTACGATGCGATGATCTCATCTGCACATCTTGTAAAGGACCACAAATGTCTTTCATGTATGTTGTTATATTTATCAAGTTGATGATATGCATTGTGCAATGGGGGGGGGTGATTAACAGATTAATAGATGAGCATAGGCTTCTTCCCAGGCCACGCGCTTTTTGCATATTCTTCTTCTTCGGGTTCCGAGTACCAAGCATATAGTCATCGAGACGTTGTATGTAGCTAGTTATAGCCAGGAGAGGGAGTTAATTTTTATAACTAAGGCATAATAGTCCGTGAAGCCCTTGCGGGGTGTCATGGGGCGGCCGGAGGGTTTAATAGAGGTAGCAGCACATTGGGTCGTGCAGGTAATGAATGAGGGACATCAATGTTAAGGATGAGGGTCACTGTCGAAGCGAAGTACCGGTATCAATTAGGCTGACCGATGAATCCATACTAAGTGTGTCAAAAGATATTACATGAAGAGTCAGATTTTATGGTGTGAGGGTAAACAGAATAGGCTGTAGCATTCGAGTTCAGACACTGATGTGAATGAGAGAGTCTTGATAAACACATACACGAGACTATCATTGTCAGGTTTTGGCTCCTCTGGACGAGTGGGTGTGCTTGTGCTGGGGCGATCATCGCTTCTGGTGTGTACTTGTAATTATCAGGAGCATTCGGATAATAATCATCTTACAGCTTATTGCCGATCCAAGATTTGATGAAGGTGTACATCAACTTTTTTCTTGAAGAAGGGGCATGGAGGTTAGGTGTCTCAACATTGCCATCTTAACAGAACGGTTTGGCGCTAGTGCGGTCTAACAGTTGTATGTGGCGAGTGTGGCGTATTGCACTGTAAACAGGAATGTTTTACATTCGCCACGTTAGTATAGGATAGCATCAGTTCTTATTGATTGTGTGGGACCTGTACCTTGTCTGAGCCTGCTTCCCCAGTTCCTCCATTGGTTGCCCTTCTCTCCCTCTCCCCCCCTCCCTCTGCTTCCTTCCACTTCCCTCCTTCCCCCTCCTCCCCCACCCCTTCATCTCCCCTCGATCTCCCTCTGTCCACCGTCTCTCAGTTCTGTGGCAGGACCTTCTTCTTCAGGTTGCCTCACTGTAGTCTCAGCCTCTGGTTCCCGCTGCTGACTTGGCTCAGGAACGAGCGAGAGGAAGTAGAAACTATATACATCATACAGTGAGTAGCTGCAAATATAATGTACACCTCCACTGTTTCCCATAAAGAGTTGCCCTTTTCATAGAGTTTAAATTACACTTTAGTACTATATACACTATGTCCTAGTTATCTAACTATACAGCCTAAAAGAGGTAGTTAGTTAGTCTCTACTCATTTCCGTTCCTACAAAAAAATTAAAATAAGGGCGGCAAGGATTGTAAAGGATGATATGGATATATAGACTGCAGCGAGATAGAGTATGTCTATCCATAGTCCAACTATAGCTATATACACTATTCCATAGTCCAACTAAATAGCCTAAAGGGTAGTTAGTTAGTCTCTACTTCTTTTCCTGTTCCTACAAAAAATGCACTAAAGCAACACCAAAATTGAGGCGAGCAAGGATTGTTAAGTGAGATAGGATATATGGGTGCAGCGAGATTAGAGTATACTATTCTTTAGAGCTCACTCACGCTGAATTTCGTGTCTTCTAAATCTAGTAGATTTCACGTTTTCGTGTATTCTAAGTGCCCGGGGCGTTTTTTGTGCGCGCGCATATAGTAGGTGCGCGTTAATTAGAAAACCACGCGCTGAGTTCAACATAGTATTACAGGGAAAGGAGAGGCGTAGCTGGTCCCGTGCACATGCGCATGCTCGTCGTTAGACGGCGGTGGTGGCTGAGCCGTAGCGTCAGTTTCGTAGCTGTCACTTGCCTCTAGCAGTATGCGGTTTATTTCGTTGTGGCTGTCTTCTTGCGAGTCTTCCAACCACTCCATGATGTCTTCGCAAAACATCGCGTTTTGGTTGCTAAGGGCGCGCAGAGCCTGCGCCCGCTCTAAATAAGTTAGGCAGGCTCGTCCAATGAAATCTACGCGATTTAGAAGGCCTCGGGCCCTTAGTAGCGTCCTCGCTACGCTCGGACGCTACAGCCCAGGGCCCTCGGCCTTCTAAATCGCGTAGATTTCACGGACTCACTACGACTGAGTCTCACCAGTCTTCTCCTGGGCAGTCTCAGCCTTGCTCTCCTGGCTGTGTGGCGTGACCAGAGGACTGGGGGTGATGGGAGATGGCTCCGGGGGTACGGGACTCTGGATGCTCCCTCCACCTGCAGTGACAGTTATAGCAGGGAAGAAATGGTGGAAGGAGGGGAGGCTGGTTTGCCATTTTCAGTTCACCCGAATTAGAACTGTGTGCACGTGCGCCATAGCTTTGTCCATGGAAACTACATACATCACTAAGTACTAGTATATAGGGATGGGCATGGTATCTAGCATCATAGATGTATGGGGCTGTATAATATGCCTCTTTTCTAAAGGGATTTTAATTTACTTGTATATAATGAACATTAAATCTACTAGTAGCGTCATTGCTGTGCTCGAACACAATAAAACCAATATAAAGAAGGAACAAAACAATGGGCTGTAGAGTAAGAATGCATGCAGTGGAGGACCAGAACCAACTGAGGATGATCCAAAGAGCCCACAGTTTCCCTGCTAAAACTCTGACCTGTTGTTATTTTTGTAACGGCAGGGGCCTTATTGTCCTCGCAGACGCAATCGTTTGTTGTCGTGGTGACCGACACTCTCGTTGCGTCGGCCGTCTCCCTCGTCTTCGCTGTCAGAGAGATCCTCATCTCTGGCTATCATCTTGTCCTGGACATGCTCTGGCAAGGGGAACTGCAACTATAATTGGCAAGTGAAGACCACCAGTTTTTCAATGCGGGAATTTTCGTATGTGACGCAGTTGGGTACCGCACATTATTGTAATGGTCTACGTGATTCTAAATATGCGCAAAACAAATATCGAAGTTGTTGTTGAGACATGCTAAGAGAGAGAGTGAGTTCTCACGTGGAATCCTCTCGTCTGGATCATCCTCAGTTGGTTCTGGGTCCTGGATCATGTCCTCTGGGATGGCTGTAGATGTACAGTACACAGTCTAACATGTACAGTAGTGAAATAGTGAACTGTTTTACCACATACATGTACACAACAGTAACATACGTACATTGCATGGGGACACTGGGAGCAGGAGGAATAAGATAGATGTTGGAAATACGAAAGAGATGATGTAATAATGATGTAATGTCATACGTACATACATTGGATGGGGACACTGGGAGCAGGAGGAATAAGAGACATATGTAAGAGATGATGTAGTAATGATGTAATGTCATACGTACATTGCATGGGGACACTGGGAGCATGAGGAATGAGTCTCAGGTTCTCAAACAGTCGAGCTCTAGAGAGAGACGTCATAGAATATGTAACTCTGAGAAAACGTACATTGTATGTAGTTGGTTAGTTAAAAAAAATGTAGTTAGTTAGTTAGGGAATGTGGCAATATTTAACGGCTAAACTTATAATACTGTTACTAAAAATGGAAATTCTTTCACTGATTGTTTAGCGCTATCTTCAGTCCACAGACATATTACGTACTTGATCTTGTTGAGGTATTCAGGTGTGTTCTGATTGGTCATGTTGGTGGGACTGATGTGGAGTTTGAAGTCCGGTCCATAGTACTCGAAGTAGTCGTTGTAGGGAAGTTCTGGGTGCAGGAGGGGAGAGGGGAAGGAGAGATAGAAGACAAGAAGGAGAAAGAGATAAAGAGAGGGGGAGAGGGAATAATCAATAAGGGTGGGGAGAGAGACACATACAGTATGTACATACACACTGTAGTAGGAAAATGTGTGATCACAATGTGATGGACACCACCATTAAAACCCTTTGGATGCCACGGGTATCTCTTTAAATAAGCTGAAATTGATGTATAACTATTAACGCCTAGTATTATAGCCATATATAAATTCTCATTGACTTATGGAGGCTAAGGACTTATACACATACGTCCGTGGTTTGCTAAGGGTTAAAAAAAACAAAGCAGTTGTAATAAACCCTGCAGCCAAAACGTTAGCATAGAGCATGTGTACAAAGCGCACAGGGTAGGTACTGCTTTTTAGACGTGTACTGAATGGATGAGAGCGACGGCAGTCTCGTAGGTCCAGCAGCGGGCCACGTTCCTGATGGTGTAGCCACCTCCTCCGAGGAGCAGGAGAGGGAGGTTGTAGCGACGGATGAAGTCCACACACTCAGCATGACCTGTGGAGAGAGGGGGAGACAGATTACTGTGAAATAGAGAAAGACATATATGTATGTAATTCAGTAGAGGGAGAGATATATGTATGTATGTGATTCTGTGATTCAGTAGAGTTTCGGAGAAAAGCCTTTTGCACATTGCTGTTCCTCAATCCTGGGTGTAGTTGACATGTATTTTGTTGTGCCTTTGCCTCTCGTAGTTGACACATGCAGTGTACTGTAGAGCAACCTTTAAGAGAGAGGTTGAAACATCCGAGGCGGTCTCCAGCCAGTGAGTCAGCTCCACACTGCAACACCACTGCACTGGGTCGGTACACCTCCATCACCTGGACACACACACACACACACATGTCACATATCCTCAACAAATTCATTGCAGCACCTCTACTCTATGCTACTAGCTAGCATGAGAACGAAAGAGTGTCAATCTCCATTCATAGATGCCCATTATCCTGTACTATACATACGTAGCTTGTACTTCCGGCATTGTATAGCAAATAGCAGTACTGGCAGGCAAAGAAGAAGAGGGAGAGAGGGACAGGCTGAGTGAGAGTGCAGAAGGAGGAGAGAGCAGACCTTGGCCATGACAGGTTTGAAGATCATCTCGTAGCTCTCGTCGTCAACGCCATCTCTCAGTGGGAAGTTGACTGCATAGTACTTGCCTTTCTCCGCCCCCACGTCCTGTTGCCAGATGGGACGGACCATTATTACAGGTGACGTTGTACATACTTTCCCTTCTCCGCCCCATGTCCCGTTGCCAGATGGGACAGACCATGTTACAGGTGACGTTGTACATACTTTCCCTTCTCCGCCCCATGTCCTGTTGCCAGATGGGACGGACCATGTTACAGGTGATGTTGTACATACATGCATAGTATTGTACTTCCCTTTATCTGCCCCCATGTCCCGTTGCCAGAGGGGACGGACCATTTTACAGGTGACGTTGTACATACTTTACCTTCTCCGCCCCATGTCCCGTTGCCAGATGGGACGGGCCATGGTACAGGTGACGTTGTACATACATGCATAGTACTGTACTTCCCTCTCCGCCCCCATGTCCTGTTGCCAGATGGGACGGACCATGTTACAGGTGCCGTTGTACATACATGCATAGTACTGTACTTCCCTTTCTCCGCCCCCATGTCCCGTTGCCAGATGGGACAGACCAATAGGTGACGGATACATTACATGCTTACTGGAAGGCCATGGCCCATCATAAGACAAATTTGTCAGTACATACATAAGGGTTAAATTTACTAAACATCGGACTAAAAAAGTCCAATGCAAGAATGTGATTTGGTTTTTTGAGTAACATTTATCCCTTAGAACTACATTGCCACAATCTTTACAGTAAAACACTGTTCTAATGAAAAGTGTATGTATATACTATAGTGCAAAACCTTGGTATAAAGAGTACCTTGAGGTCCCCAGTGCCGGGGAAGTATTCTCCGTACTTGTGGAAGGAGACAGTCATGACCCTGTCGGTGGTGTAGAATGCCTCCTCCACTCCGTCGCCATGGTGAATGTCTATGTCAATGTACAGCACTCGCTGGTGGTACCTGAGAGACAGTCACACGTGCATCAAAAGTTGTGTACTAAACACAACACTAAACTTTATGTAGTACATAGTTGTACAGGTAGCCTGAGCAGTGCCTTGTGGGGATGAATCTCATTAGTTCAGAACCACAAGTGCTGCGCTCATGGCAGCCTTTATAAACTGGTGATGCCAGAGAGAGAAGTTGGGGTATGTTCTGCTGATAAGGGCCAACAAGCCCGAAACAGCTGTCCAGAGCTCCCCCATCTTTCATCACATGGTGTTTTCTACATGTACAGCTGAAGAGAGGAACTGGACAGTCGGCAAATGGACGAATCCATTTCAAGTAAATTTGCCTTCCTTTAATACGCTGTCTGATATTGCTGGTGTGTACTGGAGTGTGGACTTGCAAATCAAACACAACGCTAGGAAATACGTACGTATGTACCCTACATAGTCTCACTAAAGCTTGCATGCAGTTATAGCCAAAGAGACTTTAAAATCAAGAGACACTGATGGACTGACAAATCCTCTACACACTTTAGAGGTTTATGCAACTGAGATGGCTTACATTATGCAATGGTTATGGAACGAACGTCAATGTCTCTGAACCTCACCCACTGGCCTATAGAGCCATTACATTAAAACCCTTTGGACGCCATGGGTATATATATCTCCTTTAGAAACTGATGTATAACATATTAACGACTAGTATTATAGCCCCATATAAATTCTTATGGGTATATGGGAGAGGGAATAAATCAAGAGAGAAGCACATACAGTATGTAACATACACACTGTATATAGTAGGAAAATGTGTGATCACAATGTGATGGACACCACCATTAACCCTTTGCACACCATGGTTATCTCTTTAAATAAGCTGAAATTGATGTGTATAACATATTAACGCCTAGTATTATAACCATATATAAATTCTCATTGACTTATGGAGGCTTTGGGCATATACATACGTCCCGCGGCTTGCTAAGGGTTAAAAAACAAAGCAGTTGTAATACACCCTGCAGCCAAAATGT